ACTTACTTGTTTTTTTGTTTTTTTAAAAAAGCTCTTAGAACCTTTATGTTTGCTGAATCTCTGGGGTCAGGCTAGCAATCTGAAAAGCTATGGTCCTTCAAAATGGACCCCCATGGTTCCTCTCTCTATGGTTCCCTCCCACAACCAGGGGACTGAATTGTGTAACAAATAGATTGCAGAAAATCTGACCATGTATGACACCATAAAAACAACAGGTCTTCTCTCTTGCTTTCTTGAATCTCTTGGCCTTTTGGAAGTCAGCTACAGTGTTGGGAGGACATCTATGTAGCCAGGTAAAGTAAGGGACAGCCACCTGTTAGGGCCATGCTTGGGACACATCTTGGAAGCCATGTCTAGCTAGATCACAGCTTTACCAGAGACTAAGCTGGAATCATCCAGCCAAAGGATTCACAGATATCTGACCCATAGAGACTTAATACTCTGCTCAGTGTCTAAGTTTTGCTTTACAGCAAAGGGTTACTAATACATGAACCCTATGGGTAATTGTGATGTGTGGTAAATTCTGAGGATCACAGAGGTACACATTCAGCAAATCCAGATACTCTTCAGTATCTGAGAGACTTGGTTCTAGAGTCTTTTGCAGATACCCAAATCCAAGTAGTTCAAGTCACTCATAAAATGGCATAGGATTGGCATATAATTTTGCACATACTAATATATACTTTATACCATCTCTAGGTGACTTATAATACCCAATGCAATTTAAACAGTATGTAATGCTATATTGTTTAGGGAATATTGAGAAAAATAAGTCTGTAAATATACATATGCAGTAGTTAAAATTAGTTTTTTGTATATTTTCTGTCAGTGGTTAGTTCAATCCGTGGGTGAAAATCCATGGATATATATGGAGGGACTATCGTAACATCTAATTATATCATAATACAATTATAATAATATCATATAATTAGGCTACACTAATAATTTAACAATGGGTGAAATGAACATTCCCCAGCCCTTAAGGTACCATATTCCTTTCCATCTTTACATTGATGACAGTTTGTAATTATATCTTTCTGGACATGAGAATTTATGGAATGTGTACCCCTCTTGCTACTGATGGGCAAGATCTTTCCTTGCCTGGTTTCTTGACTACCATTTCCCCTAAGCATAGCCCTGCCCATGGTACACAGGAGGTGCTGTTAATATCATTTGATGCATGACCCTTCCCTTCCTTGTTCACTGCCTTTCTCCTAGGTGATGGATGCAGGCCCCTGTCATGAACTCTGAATGGCACTAGCAACACTGTACAGAAGGACAGGGAGCATCTTTCTGAGAACTAATTAAGTTCTCAGAATTAGTTAAGATCCCATTGGATCTGCCTCCATACAAACCCTAAATGGCACCTCTGTTCAAAGTAATCAACATTTTATGGTCTACTTTGTACATGCAGATTCCTAAGTACCTGCAAGAAAATATAAAGGGAAGGTTCAAAAATGCAAGGAGTCACATCTGAGACTATTATTTTTATGTATGATGAGTGTATCAGTGAAGAAAGAGATTCCCACAGTTTTACCACTGAAGCCCTACACAGCAAGGCGTAGCATGAGACCAGGAGGGAAGCAGGTAAGGACCATCCCGTTGACAAGTCCTGGGCAGCAACAATTTGCTGTGCTAACCAACATAACAGTTCCTGGAGTTCTTTTCTTTGGGAGGTGATGCTAGAGGTGAAGAGCACTAGAGATGCTCTTAAGTATGAACGGGCACATAGAGAATGCCTTTTAATAACAGGAAAAAATGTTTCATCATATTTTCAAAGTTCTTAGCCAGGCCCCAGTGGCTCACAACTGTAATCCTTGCTACCCAGAAGGCTAAGATTTGAGGATCTCAGTTTAAAGCCAGCCTGGAGAGGAAAGCCTGTGAGACTCTAATCTACAGTTGACCTACAGAAGTGGATCTGTGGCTCAAGTGGTAAAGCAAGAGCTTTGAGCAAAAAGGACAACATCCAGTCCTGAGTTCAAGCCTTAGAATTGGCACACATACAAAAATGTTATGATAGCTGGTAGATTAAAATATGGGTGATATTAGTTTACCGCTATCTAAGAATGGCAGATAGGAGAGAATGATGAAAGAGGTAATATCAGTTAAGATACGTAGTACTTATAAACTGACATGTTGAATGGTAACCCATGTGTACAACTGCATAAAGATACTACTACTACTACTTCTAGTACTACTACTACTATGACCACAAATCTAGCTAGATTCTGGTGGCTCAAACCTGTAATCATAACTACTTAGGAGGCTGAGATCTAAGGATCACTGTTTTAAGTCTATCCAGGAAGACAAGTCCAAGAAACTCTTATTCCTGATTAACCAGAAAAAAATTCCATAAGTGGAGGCATACCTCAAGTGGTAGAGCACTAGCCTTGAGCTCAAAATCTCAGTCACAGCATGAGGCTAAGGGAATTCAAGCCCCAGTGACACACACACACACACACACACACACACACACACACACACACACACACATAATAGTCAATAAAGGATAAAAGAAACCAACAATCTACCTATTTTTGGCCCAGAGCAGAGAAGGGGTATAAATACCACAGCAGCAGTGGGGTCCTCAGAGGGTGCTAAATTGGCCACTCTTGCTGATGGGTCTCCCATTCTTAAATAAGCTGAAGCTCAAGGTCAGCAAATAAATTTAATGTAGCAGTCACATTTTCTTTTTCATTTTCCATTCTCACCCATAAAGCACCACCTGCCCAACGGGAACTTTATGATTTCTTATCTGTTCATCATTCTTGGTGGAGGGAAGTACAAGGGTAGTAAACCCAGGAATTTGTGCAAGCAAAGCAAGTCCTCTACCATTGAGCTACATGTGTAATCCTTGGTTTTTGGAGACAAGGTCACCTTATGTAGGTTAATGTGGGTTCATCAAGATCAAGATCCTCTTGTGTCCACTTCCTGAGTTTTGGGATTGAAGATGGGCATAATCATGCATGGCTTCATTCTTATATTGTTTAGCATGATTTATCAGTGGTGTTCCACTCAGAAATGGGGCTAGAAAATGCAGAAGCAGACCCCATCTTCTTATTTAATTCAGATGAACTGAAACTTAAACACTCACATGTGGCTAATAGTACACATATTAGCTAAAACAATGCTAGAAAATAATAATGATTGCAAATTGGTCAGTAAGTTCACCCTTAGAAAAGTTTTATTATATTTTTCATTTTTCATCTGAGAATATCAAGGGTCAAAGGATTAAGCAATTTACCCAAGCTCGGAAAACTTGTAAGTGGCAGAGAAGAATTAAAACTCAAACTAAGGCAGTTCTAACCTACACGCTTGCAATGACATTAAACTATACTTCTCTACATACCATGAAAGCTATGAAGGCAATTGCCAGCCTTTCCAGCATCTCAAGAAAACCACTGAAAGAAAGCTAGCCATATGTGGTGTGATTAACTTAAATAAACTGCAAGTATTTTTGGCAACAAAAATCTAATTGGTTTTGAAACCACATGCCAATAATAATTATCTGACAGTCTCATCCTGTCAAACCATGCTTTAAAACATTTCCCTATTCAAATATTAGTAACATAAATTCATGATGACAATATAAAAAAGACTATCAAATGTGTCTCTATCCTGCTACGCTGTGTCATTCTATCAAGTCTACCCTCTATTGATAAACCAGATAATACTTTCTTCCCTAAATCAACTTTCAGAAGTTAAATAATAGATTAAGAGTTTGGATTTTACAAGAGCAGTTTGGATGCTAAGGCATGGATTTAAGAGAAAGAGGAAAAGAACAGGGCATAAAGCAAGCACTATATAGTCTTATTTTAAGGGTTTTATTGACCACCGCGTAAAATATTCCTCATAATTACAAAACTATAAACTCTTCCTAAGTCTGCAAGCCTCACTTTGGGATATCTATATGCCCTGCATGCAAAACCAGACTAGTGTGCTCTCCATAAATCTCTTCTCTCCATTCACAGAACCTGCTTTGCAGTCTAAGGAAGGTGGTAGTGAATTCATTGAAACTGGGGTGACTGTAAGACCATTATCTTTGGTATTATTCTACCCTTTCATATTTTAGGAGGCATCTAAAGTATGACTCAGTTGTGTCCTACTAAGGTAATATCAAAGAAATAATAAGCCAAAGCATAGAGAATTTGGGCACACCTACAAGCTTTGAGGATCAAAGTCTGGTTGAAAAAAAAAGAAGGCAAGTGTGATTATCTCACAACATAAAATACATTGTTGGATATTAGAGCTAGTCCATTAAAATTAATGAGCTAGTGATTGAGTACTGCCAAGGCCATTATTACTAACAATCTTGCAACAGCACCTGCTCTCTGAGGGTCTCGCATTCAACTCCTTAGCCTGGCACCCAGAAGCAATATGAGTGAGGGTAGCGTGGGTAAGAAAGAGTTGTAAGTTCTCAAAACACCTCCCTTGCCTCTCATCAAGAGCTGAGGCCTATGTGTCCTCCTATCAGCGTGGTGGTCCTGAGATTGCTCCAGGTCTGGACCTTAAGCAACTGATTGCTTGTATTTCTTATTCTTTGGAACATACTCCAGAGCATCCCCTAGCTGCCATGTAAAAAATTTACTTACCTTGGGACCACCATGAAACAGAGACCACATGCAGGCATTTGTTTAACAGTTTCAGCTAAGCCTGCCCTTAGCTATCCTATCCAAGGGGCTGGATATGCAAAGACAGCCATCCAATAAAGAAGCTGAACACCAAGTAACCCCACTAATGCCAGGTAGAGCAGAAGAATTGTCCAGTCAGACAGGTCCTGAGCCTCAAAAGCATGAGAGGAAATACAACAGTTCTCATGTGACAGCTCAGAGTTTTGGAGCAGCTTGTGATATAGTAATAAATAACTGTAACAGAACATTTCCCTTTTCTTTAAGCAATCTCCAAAGTTACTGGCTACTTATTGTGTCTACATTAGATAACTGTTTATTCAGTATATATAAAATGTCACCCAATCATTCTAATCTTTAATGTACACATACCAATGAAACCAGAAGATGGTGGGTTTGGCTGAATCTTCTCCTTTGTGTTCTCCTGGATTATATCCCACAGCTGCCATATAAATTTAGGGTGAAGAATGTAAAATGGCTGAGTTGGGTTTCTCTGACGATGCTGAATATATGGAGTGAACAGGTTGTAATCTGGCTTTTTGTACCACTGAAAAAGAAAAAGGAACCCAATCAAGGACAGAGGACTAACTGAAAAGCACTTAGGACAGCAGGCAGACAGGTGGATTTAGAGGCTGAGGAGGGAAGGAAGAGAAGTCTACAACTCATTGCTTCTACAGACAGTCCCTTGGAACAATGGGACATATACAAAGAGAGAGCAGCTTTCTAGTCTTAGCAGGACTAAAGCCTTCTCCTTTGGTAAAATGAGGAAGCTGGGCTAGACCTGGTCTGGATCAGTACATGTTTTCTGGGAAGGGTCAGATCGTAGACACCTGATGCTTTCTGGACCATGCTTTCTGGATCTTTTGGGTGACTACTTAACTCTATTACAGGATACAGATACAGGAAACAGGATACAGCCATAGGTAGCTGCTGAATGAACATGCTGTGTTCTAATAAAACTTTATTAAGACAACTGATGGCCATATTTAGAGTATGCTTCAGAATGCTCATCCTTGAGTTTGCTTAAGCAGTATATTTCAAAAGTAAATTTCCCCCAAGTTTCTGTCACCTATTTCATCTGTGGTGACAGCACATCAATGCTTTCTGGTTTTGGGTGGAGGCTAAGAAAGAATGACTTGAGAGCTCTTCCTGAACCATGACAGAGTACACCTAAGAATCAAAATGTGATCATGCTCATCAGAATATACAATTACATATATTATAGCACATTGTGTGCAAAAGTCAATCAGGTTGATTTAAAACAAAATTCTTCAAAAAATGACCCAGGTGTTATCATCATGTGAGATTTGAGGGAGGGCTTGTGGGAAGAAATTTAGCTCATATGCCTCTAAGAACCCTTTGAGCAGAGTCCAAGGGTAATCATCAGGTATTTAGTAAGATCCTGGATAGAATTCTACCTATAAGAAGGGTTTGTGGGGGCTGGGAAAATGGTTAGTGGTAGAGTGCTTAATTAGTATGCATGAAGCCCTGGGTTTGATTCCTCAGTACCACATATACAGAAAAAGCTGTAAATGGCACTGTGGCTCAAGTGGTAGAGGGCTAGCTTTGAGCGAAAGCTCAAAGCCTCTCAGGCCCTGAAAACAAGTCTGAGGACTGGAAAAAAGGAAGTCTTGTGGCTTGAAAAACTTTGAGTAAACGCCAAGCATGCTGGTGGCTCATGCCTAATTATCCAAGCTACTCAGGAGGATGAGATCCAAAGGAATCCAGGTCTGGGAAGGCAAGTCCTGGAAGAAAAGTCTGCAACATTCAATCTCCAAAATAGCCAGCAAAATTAGAAGCATGGCTCAAATGGTAGAGTACCAGCAGAGCAAGCAAGCCAAACAAGTATGAGACCCAGAGTTTAAGATCTGTATTGGAAAACCAACCAACCATCCAACCAAAACAAAACCCTCTGAGCATGATTGGGTCAGGGACTTTTTAATAAGCTAAGCCCCAAATCTGGTGGCACTCTAAAAGAAGAAAAATGTGTGTAGGATGAGAAGGAACTGTTCCTTCCCAGCCTCTTCCCATGTCCTCACAAGGAACACTGGCCCCAGTATAAGTGGCCGTGACACTTGGAATGTAGCACCATCTCTGCCCACATTCATCCAGTAGGCTTGGATGTGTGTGTGTCCTGGGCTCGGATGAAGCCTACTGAAATGCCAGTCAATTCACAAACAGCAAAAAAAAGTTCACAGAGCCATAAACTCAGGATATGGGTTGGGAAGAGAGTTAAAATGTCCTAAGCTCTACTAATGTTTGATTTTCAGTAGAGAGTGCACAGGAGAACTTTCAAAGAGAATAGAGTTCCAGGTTGTTTCCTTTCCATCTTGAAATGGGCTCTTTCAGATCAATTTTGAAAAAGACTCTGGGTTATTGAAATTTACACCTCTGGTTGGAAACTCATTAGTAGTCATTCTGGTGAATGTCTAGCCTCAGTCTCAAGATGGACAGAAAACCACGCACTTCTTTTGGAGGGAACCATTCCATTTAGATAGCTCTCTTTGCAAAATGACACCTTGGAGGATCCAAGATCTGTTCTCTGCATTCATCATTAGAAGGTTGCATGCTCTCTGGTTCTGGCAAAGCAAGTCAAGGATACTCATTGGTACAGTTGGCAAAATGTCTTGCTAGGCTAGCCATCATCCATTATTTCCCAATATCATTACAAACAAGCTCATTGACTTTTCATGTAAGGTTCTGATCTATGTAGAGCTCTACATATAACCTTATGAATTTTGTTATTTTTTTATGTCAGTACTAGTGTTTGAACTCAGGAACTAGTAGTGCCTACTAAGCAGGAGCTCTATTACTCAGTTGCACCTCCAGCTCTGTTTTGTGCTGATTTTTTTACAGAGTGTCCCACTTTCTGTCCAGGCACATACATGTACCTCAGTTCACCTATTTTAAGCTTCCTGTTGTAGCTGCAATGACAGGCAACACACCACGGTACCCAGTTTTTTTTTCACTAAGTTGGAATCTCAGAAATTTTATCACCCTATTGGGCCTCCAAGCATCATCCTCTTTATTTTAGCCTCTCAAGGAGCTAGGATTACAGTTAGGCATAAGCCACCAGCACTGGACTCAACTTGTTTGTATTTTGATGATTAGTAACAAACATGCTTCCGTTCTATTGAATGAAATTAACCAGATTCAGAAGCAGAAGCTAAAGAGATACACTCAGGAAAAGCCTGAGTAAGTAAGTGCCAAGTTGTGTATGCACAGATTTTCCTGTCAACGACTTCCAATTTATTTCTAATGGTCTTACAGCCTTTCTGAGGGAGGATGTCACCCCATCACAAGCAAACTATTTTGAGTTTAATCAGCCCAACCTTCACTGTAACTAGGATTTTTTGAGCATCTAGATGTGTTGCATGTTTTTCTTCATTTCTCCAGAGCCAAAGCTTTTTAGCACCAAATGGATAATGCTGCGCATACCAGATATATAACTAGGTATCAAAAAGTTGTGGGGACGCAGCTTCATTCTGTCAAAGCTCAGTCCTTGATCTGCTACCATGTCTAATCAGCTAAAGTACTGTCTGACATTGAACTAGGGACAGCAGGGAAACACTTACCAGGTTAAGATTCGCAGAATAAGGAGCAGGGTCCCATGCCACCAAAATGACATCTTTATATAAAGAGCTGTCGATGAAATGATAGCTGGGATTGGTTAAAATCTGCAAGTACACAGAAAAAAAATTCAAAGCCGGTGGTGTTTCATTCTCTGAATAGATTTTTAACAACAGGCAGAAATTACAATGTGGAAACAGAAAAAACAAAAAACTCAAGTTTTCTGTTTTCCTTTGGGAGAAGAAGGGACCAGTGTTGCACACCAGAGGCCAAAGCATGATCAAGAAAATGAGGTGGGGTTTTGGAGGTGGCAATGTTTTTAAAACAAATATTGTCTTGAAAGAAATGATAAGCTGAGCATTGGTGGCACATCCCTGTAATCCTAGCTACTTAAGAGGCTGAGATCTGAGGATTGCGGTGCAAAGCCAGTCTAGGCAGGAAAGTCCATGAGACTCTTATCTCCAAATAACCACCAGAAAACAGGAAGTGGCACTGTGGCACAAGTGTTACAGGGTTCGTCTTGAGCTGAAGAGCTCAGGGACAGTGCCTAGGTACTGAGTTCAAGCTCCATGGTTGACCAAAACAAAAAAAAAAAAAAAAAGGAAAGAAATGATGTGTTTAAGGGGATGTAAATGATAATTACCCTGATTGAACCCTGATACATGATCATCATATATCAAAATAGAAAATATAAAAATATACTATCAAACAATATTCCATAAATACATATGAATAGTGTCAGCTTCGAGAGAAAAAGCTAAGGGACTCTGACCAGGCACCGAATTTAGGCCTCCAACACAGGCACCAATAAATGAATGAATAAAGAAAGAAGGAAAAGGAGAGAAGAGAGGAAGAGAGAAAGAAAGTAATGCAAAGGAGGGAAAGAAAGAAAGAAGAAGGAAGTCAGGAAGAAAGAGAGAAAGGAAGGAAGGAAGGAAGAAAAAGGGGAGAGATTAAGAAATGAAGGAAGGAAAGAAGAAAGAAAAGAAAAGAAAAAGAAAACTAGCCATTACATTAATGTGTGATATTGCATGATCTAGAATCCAGGCCCTGAAAAATGTGACTCCTCAGCTAGTTCAGTCACCATCTCTACGACAGCCTTGTGATTTAGAAGCCACATTGATGCACTGTGGAAGAGCCACCCCAGGCCAGTATAGGCCTCCTTTATGGTTTTATTTATGGTCCTGGATATATTCATCAGTGTCGCCTGCCAACCATCCTTTCTAAAAAAACATAAAACTAAAAGCTATATTTCGGGGAAAATACAGCTCGCTTTTTCTTAGTTTTCAGATACAAATTTTCACCATTATTAAGATGCACTGTTTTCACATTATATTATCTTTTCTGAAGTGCATCTTTAGGATGACATGTATTTTAATTTGCTGGGCTTTCTCTTTTCCTCTCTGAGAAGAGAGGAATTAAGGAAATATGGTAATGGTTTCCTTCCTGCCTGCAGGTGACCTGACACAGCAAACATCAAAGCGCTAATGGCTTGCTCATTCACAGGCAGTTCATTCATCATCAATCACTTATACCTCTTTTTTTCTTTTTTTACATATTTTTGACATTGTTGTGATTGGTTCTATAATTTTGCCATAAAGTGGGGCCTATATTTTCTAGTCCTGGGGCTTGAACTCAAGACCTGGATGCTGTCCCTGAGCTTTATTTGCTCACGACGAGCATTCTACTTCTTGAGCCACAGCTCCATTTCCAGCTGCCTTTGGTGGTTAATTGAAGATAGGAGTCTTACAGACATTTTTTACTTAGGCTGGCTTCGAACCATGGTCCTCATATCTCAGCCTCCTGCGTAGCTAGAATTACAAGCATGAGTCACTGGCACCCAGCTTGGAAGCCATTCTTACTAAGAACATAGGGAAAGGGATACTTTAATTTTTCAATCAAATCATGCATTTTTTTATTTTTACAATTTCCAAATAACAGATGAGAATGTCAGATACATTTAGTTTTCAGATATGTGACATTTTATCTCCTTTTAGCTCTTGCTTGTGTGTGTGTGTGTGTGTGTGTGTGTTGTGTGTATACATGCACTAGTACTAGGGTTTGAACTCAGGACCTCTTTTTTTTTAAGGGCTTCTCACACTTGATTGGCTTTATCACTCAAAGCTGGTACTCTACCTCTTGAACCTCATCTCCACATCTGGCTTTTTGCTAGTCAATTGGAAATAAGAGTGTTTCTAATTTATTTGCTTGGGTGGACTTCTAACCACAATCTCAACCTCCTAAGTAGCTAGGATTTACCTACTACATTCTTAATGACCAGGTTTCTTTTGTTTTGATACTTTTTCTTACTTCCCCAGTTCTAATATGCTAAGTCTATACTTCAAAAAGTATGTCTGTATTTAATCTGATTTTGTTTTATTTTATTCTTTTGCCTTATTTGTATCACATCTATGCACCCATTTCTCTGTATTTTTCTTTATTATTTCTTCATAATTACAAGGTGCATGTGCATTACAATGGTCACCAATAACCAGATAATTTCTACTCACTCATCTAGTCTAACCATTTACCTACAGAATGGACCCCTAGAAACACTTCATCCATCTTACCTGGGAGTTAATGATTCGGACAGTGGTTTTATTTCCGACATCTTTCTCATAACCTCGGGTAGGAGCTGAGTTAAATCTCAAAACCGCATCGTGAGAATCTAAGGGCATATAGGGACAAGTTTACTTTTTGTCTCTGTTGAATCTAGGAAAAAAGGTTAAAGAAAGTCTTTCAATACCTGAAGCTGGATATACATGCACAGCTTTTCAGATAATGTACTGTTGACTTGGGAGGAGAGCTTGGCTCAGGAGATGCATCAGGAAGAGCACACAGTCAGTCACACAAGTATGATGGCTTGTCGGTGGGTAACAGACCATTTACAGGACAGTGCTCCCACCAGCTGTGTTGCCTAGTGACGCTGTAGTTCCATCAATTTAAGTGCAGGCTATGATGTTAGCATGATGGCAAACTCGTCTAATGACACATGCATTTTTTAGACCTATCCAATAAGAAAGCAATGACTGTGTATGTATGCATAAACTCATTTGGTTACACAAGCTCTGGTGTCATTTAAGTTTCATACAGATGTCACATTTTTTCCAAGTAGCATGCTTTATGCAGCCATTCCCTGGAAGGCTCTAGAACATTTTGTAACTAGAACTACAGAAGGAGGTAAGTTGATGGGAAAGTCAGGGGATCATGGAATGTTCATCTGGGCTTTATGTGTATGTGATATGTGTGTGTGTATGTGTGTGTGTGTGTGTATGTATGTACATGTGCACACGCACACACACACTAATAATTGGCTTGAACTCAAGGCTTTATGGTCTCACTTGGCTTTTTTGCTCAAGGCTGGTGTTCTACCACTTGAAACAGTCTTCTGCTTCCAGCTTTTGGCTGTTAATTGGAGAATAGAGTCTCACAGATTTTCTGCCCAAGCTGGCCTCAAATTGTGATCCTCAGATCTCAGTTTGTGTGTAGTGAGGATTACCAGGCATGAGCCATCAGCACCTAACTTCATTTGGGTCTTTTTCCTGCTTGAAGAACACTGAGGTTGGTCATCAATGTCATGTAATTCTGGGGCCTCCACAGAGAATAAATGTGTCTCTCTTGGGATCAAAGCCAGGGCCTTCAATTCTATGGTGCCACTTTCTGGTGAAGGTTTATGCTTAAAATGAAAACAAGCCCTGATTTTCTTGAAGCCTCATATATTGTTCCTGATGCCACAATGTCCTATGTGAGCCTAGCCTTACAGGCCCCTCATTCTGAAGTCATAATCAGACATACCATGCAACTAGAGTCTGGGACCACCGAAGTTACAATCCAATAGGGTTCTTTGTATTCAGTAATGGTGCACCAAGCTTGACCTACAGAACATGCCTGTATACACTTCCTTCAAGGTATCTGACATCCTCCAGTTATCTGAATGATGGAAAGAGAGGTGCCTGGTGACCACCAGGCCCTTGTATCATGAGGCCAAGGAGGAGGTGAAGAGAAAGACGTGGAATAAAGTAGCCTCATCTGATTAGGGATAGGAATGGGAAACAAGTTCTCTTTTCCTAAAACAGGCTGTAAACACAAACCAGCATGAAACCAGAGATGATGAACAATAAGAGGACACCTATAGGTTGTCCTCAAACATCCCAACTTTAACTTGCAGTAGTGACAGTGCATGTATGTGACAGTAAGAAGCAAGTGTGTGCATGTGTGACATTTGTACAAGCCACATGGACACGCACTTGCCTCATTTACTGTGACTTCACAGGACCTTAGAGAAGCTAACCTTCCCCTGGGTCCTGATGCTCCCTCCTTGGGAGTCTTCTGGCACCCTAGAGGGATTAAACTACCATGTATGTCCCACCAAAACAATGTTAGAAAATGTACCTTTATTGATGAGACCTAAGCCATAATGAATTGGTGTGTTCTAGGTTTCTTTTAAGCTTGAAGCCTCCAGCTTGCTGGACACCACTGTGTCCAAGCACCCTGTGCTTTTGCTGATTATTTTTGAGATAGGATCTTGCTTCTGACTCAGGCATGCTCTGGGACTATGGTCTGCCTATTTTAGTCTTTCCATAGTTGAAGGGATGGCACACATGAACCATGATATCTACAATACAATGGAGTCTTGCAGACTTTTCTGCCTGGGTTTGCCTGGAACCACAATCCTCCCAAGTTCTTCCTCTCACATAGCTTAGGATGGAAGGTACACACCTCTGTGCCAGCTGTGGGTGAACTCTTCTGCCTAGCCCCAAACCACTGTCCTTCAGTCCTCAGCTCTGCAAACAGCTAGAACTATAGAAGTGAGCCACAGGCACCTGGCTGAAGCTCAATTCTGAATAGCAAAAGGATGAAACTTTTGGATCGCAACAAACTCTTCAAGGGTACCTCTGGAAAATCCAAGCTATGTCTGAGCTATAGCCTGGCACTAGTAAATAAAGTTGGAGCACCATAATACACATTTATTTGTGAATGTATGTTTATAATGGCACAGTTCTTGAAACAGTCTTCATGGTCTGAAAAGCTTAAAATCTACCTGGCTTTTTAGAAAAGAAAAAATAGGTTGCAAATCTCTAAAAGGTATGTTCTGTGTAAATGAAGCCAAAGTACCTTAACACTTCCTTGTTTCTTGTTTTATTGGGGCAGGACGTCTAATACTTGGGCTTAAACTCAGGGTCTTGTGCCCTCACTTGGCTTTTTTGCTCAAGGTTGGTGCTTTATCACTTGAGCCATAGCTCCACTTATATCGTTTTAGTGGTTAATTTGAAATAAGGGTCTCACAAACTTTCCTGTTTAGGCTGGCGTCAAACCACAATCCTCAATGTCAGCCTCCTGAGTAGCTAGGATTGCAAGCATGAGCCACTGGCATTAAGCTTTAAGAGCTGCTTCTTTATGTTACATTGTAAGCTCTTTGCATTTGGGGGGGAATAGATTGATTTGTTATTTATTTTTACTGAACAGTGTGTTTTCATTTTTAAAAGAACAAGTAAATGATATTTGAGCTACAAAATTTAGATTACCAAAGCGTTAGTGTTGATAATATATTCACTGCATTAGAAAATAGGATAGAATTTAATGTTTTGTTCATTAATTTATATTAAAATAACATTTTAATAAAAATTTTAAACAGCAAAGTAAACAGAAGACTGGCACTGTTTTAAGTGTTTGCAAATCTGTGCTAAGTTTGGCTTTTTTTTTGGCAGTCCTGGGGCTTGAACTCAGGGCCTGGGCTCTGTCCCTGAGCCTCTCTCTGTGTTCAAGGCTAGTGCTCTACCACCTGAGTATGGTGTCATTTCTGGCTCTTTCTAAGTAGTTTGCTGGAGATAAGAGTCTCATGGACTTTCCTGCAGGGGGTGGCTTTGATCCTCAGATCTCAGCTTCCTGTATAGCTAGAATTACAGGCATGAGTCACTGGTGCCCACCTCTAAGTTTGACTTTTTAGAAGACAGCTTCTTGTCTCTCTTGCCTTCAGTGTTGCCTTAGTGCATAAAGACTTATGCTTTACTGGATAAAGACTAAGATACTTCATTCCCAAAGGGGAAGGCTGTTTTAGTGGTCTTCCAAAAGATCTGTGAAACACACACACAACACACAAACATATGATTTTTTCAATGAACTTTGCAAGTGCTAGTCTGTTAAAGGTTGACTGCAATGTGGCTTTTGAAAATATTATCAATGAGCTTGTATGTGTGTGTGTGTATGTGTGTGTGTGTGTGTGTGTGTGTGTGTGAATACTAGAGCTTGAACTTAGGGCCTTGGCATAATATAGTTTTTTTTTTTTGCTCATGGTTGGCTCTTTACCATTTGAGTCATAGCTCCACTTCTCTTCTGGTTGTTTAATTGGAAACAAAAGTCTCACAGACTTTCCTGCCTGGACTGGCTTTGAAATTCTATCCTCAGATCTCAGCTTCCTACTATCTAGAATTATAGGCATGGGCTACTGGTGTCTGGCTTTGATGAACTCTTTTGTCTGAATAAATTGACAACTACTGATTTTAATTATAAAGTATAAAACCAGTCTCTACTGTCAGCCAAAGTCTGCATCCACTACCCAGGAGTCTCCTTCTCATGTATTTAACTTAAAGAGGCCTCTAAACTGTGAAATTTTAGAAAATTCAAGTTAATGGGTGTAAAGTTAAGTAGTTCTGCCACATTAACGCCCATTAATCTATCTTGTCCTTAGTGTGGGCCCTCTCACTTATGCATAGTTCTGTAATATCATGCAAAGATCATTTGAAAATTCTGTCAGCTCTCAAATATTGATTCATTCCATTAGAGAGTATAAAAAAACCACCTGGGTTAATATCATGTGGAGCTCCTCAAGAAGCCTCCACGTTCACAGTCAAAAGCCTGAATTTTACCACTGGCAGCGTACATGGCCATGTTTGCTTAAAAAGTAACTGGCTTAGCCAGTCACCAGGATTCTAGCTACTTAGGAGACTGAGATCTGGAGGATCTTATCGGAACCAGCTAGGATAGCAATGTCTGTGAGATTTATTCTCCAAAATAACTAGTAAAATGCAGGGCTGGAGGCATGGCTCAAGCCCAGCCAAGTGTGCAATAAGATCAAGCAAGTGTAAGACCCTTTTAGTGGGGCTCAAATTCCACTACAACAGGATGGGCTCACTTAATTCCCTTTGGAAAAAAAATACCTGCTAAATATGTCTGAATAACAAAAAATATCCTGGAACTCAGACTTGGAAGTAATCGCTCATAAAGATTGGTACCACTGTTCCCTTGCTTGTAATATCTTTCTGTCTCTGCCTCTTGGATATATGAGTGAGGGCTTCTCTGTTCCTTAGATTCAGGCTGAGCTTACAGGGTTGTGGTAAAGGCATACAAGAGCCACACTCAGAACTCATCAGGAAAGATCTTGTCTACAGCAAATGCCTGCAGGAGGTGTAGCCATTACAGTTATGGAGTGAAGTCTATTTTCTGTAGAATGGCTTTCAGAAGCATCCGTGCCCTGTTCTACTGCCCTCTAGCCAGTGTTGCTGTCTTCCCCAGCCTTGGGCCTTTGTACTTCCTGGGGCCTGTGTCATCTGCACACTGTGTTGGCTCATGTCTCCTTACCTCACTGGGCTTCCAGCCTGATCTCTCTCGGAGTAGTCTTTCCTGACCCCTTTTCTGCTCACTCAGGCAACAGCTCTCAGGAGGTCATGCCCACCCTGTGGGCATATACTCCTCTGTGTTCTTCCCCCACCAACGAAGTACTGCATTTCTGTTGGTGGCTTGGATTGTTCCCCCAACACTACAGAATTTGAGGTCTGGGTTTGTGCCTTAGTCACCTCTGTGTCTAGTGCAGGATCTGGTAAGAACTTGGAAACAATAAGTAGCTAATGCGGGTTGGATGACTATAGGAACTGCTTTCTCATCTTTTTAAGCAAAGGAAACAAGGCCTTCTCAAGTCCCCAACTCTCTCCAGTAAGTACTCTGGGGGCTACATCCCTTCTCTTTCTTCCCATTTCCTAATAATCACTTGCCAGACTCCATGTGTTCAAAATATAGACCCTAATCTTCTATTTTAAGGCTATTTCTGCGTTTTCTTCCTTTACTTTTTTTTTCTTTTCCTTCCTTCCTCTTTCTTTCTTCCTTTCTCTTTCTCTCTTTCTTTCTTTCTTTCTTTTTCTCTCTCTTGCTTTCTTTTTTCTTTCTTTCTCTCTCTCTCTCGTTTCCTTGTTTCTCTTTGTTTAGTGCTGGTACTGGGGCTTGAACTCAGGGCTTCATGTTCTGCTTGGCTTTTTCATTCAAGACTGGCACTCTACCACTGGAGCCACATGTCCACTTTCAAAGCTATTGCTGTTTGAGAGAAGCACTCTGCTCTCCTTGGGAACACTTCGATAGGAACACCAAAAGTGTCTTCATCAATGAATATTACCACTTAGGTGCAAACTGATACCAGACCAGCTCATGCCTCCTGGAATGTTCTATGTTTCCTAAACAGCTCAAATAACAGATTCAAAGCCTTTGTACTTTACATATAGTTCAACAACTACTATACTTTCCTAGCCTCAAGCAATTGTTCTGTGGGACTCAGTTTAACAGAAAGGGATCTGGGGACAGGACTTTATTGCCATGGGACAAACACCAGGGGGCGTTAACTGGCAGCCAATCAACGAACAGGGAGGCGAGGGGGTGTGTCTCTTGGGGAAGGAAGGAGCTGTGTAGTATTGGGGTTATTGGCCTAGAAGGGGATCACCTTGTAGGGTTTGGATGCCCAGACTGCCTGGGTCCCCTCTCTGTCCTGCCTTCAATATTTCATTGGATCATACCTCCTCTGGTAATTATTAATCTACATTTAGCAAATTCAGAGGCAGGTATTTAGGGGTCAACCTGAGTTTGGCTAAATTATGCCCCAACGTTCCAAGGTTCCTGAAGGAAGCATGAGTTTGTTTCTGCCATGAAAGCTATTCGTGACTTAATGACTTGTGGTTTGCATTGACACCTCAGCTGAGCAGGAGAGGAGGGGTCAGCACCTGGTCTGCACAGGGCTGACAGTGACACATGCTTAGAAAGATCAATCCTGCTGATTTGGTTGTGTGAAAATCTGATTCAAAGGAACCTAAATAAAAAGCAAGACAATTCTTATGTAATTGAGTTTGAGCTAGGCTGGTGCTCTACCATCTGAGCCATATATCTATCTCTTTTTGCTTCAGTTACTTTTGAGACAAAGTATTACATTTATGTCCCAGCTGCCTGCGATACCGATTCTGTTTACTCTTCTCATGTATCTGGAATAACAGGCATGTAACTACCATGACCAGCAGTTTTGGTTGTTGTTTCGAGAGGAGGTTTCCCAAACTTTTAGCCCAAACTGATCTTAAATTCAATTGTCCCAATCTCTGCTTCCTGAGTAGCTGGGATTATAGTTGTAAGCCACTGTGTCTGGCTAAAATAGACAATTAAATTTTTTTTCCAGTCATGATCTTCATCTGTGACCTTACAATTCTAATCATATAAACACTCATTTAAGTACTACAGCACTCTACTCTGCATAAGCACAGACTTCGTGGTGTCTTTCATATCTTCCTTCTAATTCTGAATAACATTTAAAAGACTCTGGACAGGGATATTTATGGAGGCATAAAGAGTGTGGGACTTCTCCCTGGCCTGTAAGAGCTATCCAAATACCACATATTTATGATTCAGCGGTGTTTAAAACAAACCAGAAGCAGGTTACCAGCTGCTTCAAAGCTAAATACCTAAATTCCTCCTCTGCATTATTGATGTTGGTCCTCAGAAATGAGAAGAAACTGTGGTGTTATTTCACCCCAGGGGCCTCTAAACCTCTGCACATGGCTAATAAATTGCAGGGTGCTTTGCTCTGGTTTGGCTCCAAGCTTATGTGAGACATGGGCAGTATTACTGTAAGCCTGCTGTAAGGTCAGTCCCGAGACGCAGGGACCCCAAATCACTAGTCTAGAAGTGTTGTTGCTGCATTCCCAAGAACATCTGGCTTGAGATCTGTGTTGCTGCCATCTCAGCTACAATCACCAGCCAATCTTTGTTTGTTTGTTTGTTTTTGGTGCCAATACTGGGGTTTGAAGTCAGGGCTTGGGCACTGTTTCTGAGCTTTTTCAGTCAAGGTTGGCACTCTCTCATTGAGCCATGGCTCCATTTCTGGCTTTCTGCTGGTTAGTTGGAAATAGTAGTCTCATGGGTTTTTCTATCCCAGCTGGCTTTGTGCTTCCATATGTTGTTAGGATGACAGATGAACTGCATCCAGTTATTGAGCTTCCCCCTAGCTTGGGATGATATTGGTTGAGACTGGAATCTAAGAGAATTTTCACCCCCAGGCTGGTTGAATCATGATCACCCAATCCCTAATTCCCAAGTATCTGGGACTACAGACTTGATCCACTGAGCCCAGCTAATTCAGTAAGACTTTGAAGAAAGCATATTACTGTCCCCACTGTAGATGAGAGAATCTGATCTGTTGAAGGCTTGAAAAATAAGGTTTAATGCTTCCAGAGGAAAGAATTCTGCCTCAACCATGCAATGTGGAAACCCTGCCCGTCAGCTGTCGTACAAACTACATGTTTGAAAGCTCTTACAATGATAGAACACATCTTTAAATCTCTTCCCAGGTCCCTCTTTCCTAAAACCCTGTTTTCTCCAGCACCCTGACTAATGCAGGACTTATGTCCTGACACAGATGTGTGGTGTTGGGCTGAGCAAATGGAAGCCCAGGTTGACTACAGGTATGTTACCTTGAGAAGCATGTTGTACTGGCTGGTACCCCAGAGCTAAAATTGTGCCAAGAGCCAGCAGACCAAAGCGCTTTCCTGTGGTAGCCATGTTTTCAGTAGTAATCTGGATCTCAGGAGCCCCTGAATTTGATCTTTGAAGTAGCCAAAATCATTACCCTTGGCTGGATTCTGGTAGCTCATGCTGTAATCGTAGCTATGCAGGAGGCTGAGATCTAGAGGATCTCAACTTGAGGCCAGTCCAGGTAGAAAGTAACCAGCCAAAAGCAGGGCAGGGGTGATGGCTCAAGTGGGAGAGCACCAGCCTAGTAAGTACAAGGTCCTGAGTTCAAATCCCAGTATCAAGGGAGAAAATAAAACATCTCCTGGGTCCTCTTGGGAGATAACATCCACAATGATCTCCTATTTCCTTGTCCTTTATTTCTTCCAGCATATTCCAGCCCATGATAGGCCTTCCGGTGTTTTTGGCCATTATGGAAGCTTATTAACGTCCACCAGAGTTTCTGTGACTGGATGTCTAAGACACGAGCAGTGGACAAGCCTATGGCAAAGGGGGATGATGACTCTACTGCCACCAGCACCAGGGATGAAGGGGATGTCTCTCCTGTCCTTCCCAATTACTGAGACCCTGCTTCAAGAGTCCCCTAAGAATAGATCATCTAGGATCCCCAAAATGGCCCACAGTTGCAGTGGGGTCAGAGCAGAACCCTTAGGGTTCTAGATGAACTCCAGAAACACCTGCTCAGGACCAACCCACCCCTCATCCTGGAGGTTCCTCCCGCGACCCCTGACTTCAGACCCAGGTGGGGACGCACCTATCTCCTCTCCCAGGGAGGAATTGAGGATGGCACCCGCTGACATGACCACTGCGCAGCTCCGCAGGCCGTGTGGGTGCAGCTGGTGGCCCAGGGGCACAGCTGGCACCAGCAGCCGCCAGCCCAGCGTGGAGAAGGGCGCCTCGGTTCCATCCAGGGTGCGCACACGGCCGCGACGCCGCAGCTCGCACAGCAGCTCGGTCCGGCTGCGGCTGCGGCGTGCCTGGCGCGGGGTTCGGAAGCGCACCCCATGCTTGTTGGCCGCCATGTAATCCCGCATGGCCTTCTGCAGGCGCGGGGCCAGCATGCGCGCTGACACGTTCCCCTTCCACAGCCGGTACAGGAAGGCCCGGGACATGGAGGCCGACAGCCGGTCCCCATCGTCTCCCTCCTCGGAGGCGGGGTTCCATCTCTTCTTCACTCGGAGCCTCCTCTGGGCTCCCCGCCGCTGCGATGGCTCCTCTGGGGACGGCAATCCCCAGGTCCCTGGCACGTGCCTTTGCCACTCTGGCTGACCCACAGCGAAGAAGTAGTCGTCATCCTCAGGGTAGAACGCACTTTGAGATTTCCTCCCTATCTGGGAGGTAAAAAACAACTCTGCGTGGCCAAAGCCATCTGGGGCCTGCTCCCATGTTTGTGGGTCCCTGGGTCCTGCGTGAAAAGGACCAACTGGGGGCCCGGCCCGTGGAACCTTGTTGGGATCCAAGCTCCCTGGGGAGGAGGGCTCCTGCATGGCACCCATGATGGCCCGCTGCCTGCCCTGAATGGGCAGGAGCCTCCTGGTCTCCAGGAAGGAGAAGGAGCTGGGCGCAGGCTCCGCAGGGTTGCTGTCTGTGAAGTAGATGAAGATTACCAAAAAAAGAAGCCCCCAAACAAATATCCCGAAGAGCATGCGTTGTCTCCATTGCTTCAAGTGTGGCTTCATGGCAAGGTCTCGGGCCTGCGCTTCCTTGGTCTCCTAGAACGCTGGGCAGGCAGGCAGGACCTGAAAAAACAGCCAGGTGCTATGTTAGTGTACATGGGAAGCCCGCTCAGTCGCTGCTGGGGACAGGCTGGCACAGGCAGAGCTGGGAGGGGAAGGCAACAATCCAGGATCTACATTCAGGAATCCTATCGACCCTTGCCTGATCTCTCTCATCCAGCCATCTTGCCACCACCGATGAGAGCCTAGAGACCAGAGTCCTTTCCAGGTATCTCAGTGGTAGGTCTGTGTCCTCATTCTGAAAGCACAACACATGCGCCCTGGATAGTTTGATGAAGAGCAGATGGGAGAAGGTAGCACAATTGTATGCTTCTATGTCTCTCAGCGCCCGCCTCCTCCACCTCAAGGATCTTCTGTGCACATGAGCTCAAGCGAGGATGTGGAGGGCTTGAACTGGCGCCTTCCTTTAGCATTTTCCCTCAGGGCTGGCACTTGGAGATAGGAATCTCATGGATTTTTTTTATTTCAAATTAGAGATAAGAGTCCCACAGACTTTTATGCTCAGGCTAGCTTTGAACTGAGATCTTTAGAGCTCAGCCTCAGGAGTAATTAAAATTAAGGCATGAGCCTTGGGCAACTGGCTTTGAGCTCCTGGATTTTACAGCAGAAATGTGCACCATTAAGAGCAGTCACCAGATTCACCTGGTCATGGTCTCCCCCAGGCCAGAGGGTTGATAGAACATGCGAGAAGTACACCAGTGGCACTAGACAAAGCAAAATTCAGTGTTCGTGCTATGGGAGAATGTTATGTCAGGGGAGGGGGACTATTGAATCCAATCCTGTTTCCAGATTGCACTTTCATCATTCTGCAACCAAGACTAAATGCCAAGATATGAACCTAGAAAAATAATGCCAGCAGTTCACTTGTTCCACGCTTTGTACTTAGCATTAATCCTGGATTGTCTCATTTGGTCTTTTCAGCATGGAATAAAACAGGAAATAGTGTTATATCCATTTTCTGAGTGAGGAGAGTTTAAGTAACTTGATCAAAACCACAGCAATAGAAAGCATCAGACCACCCCCTCTCCCTCTATGTCTCTCTGTCTCTCTGTCTTTCTGTCTCTGTCTGTCTGTTTGTCTTTCTGTCTCTCTCTCTCTGTCTCTGTCTCTCTCTCACACACACAATCCTTTGCTTGATTCAGAAGCCACACTTCTAACACTAAATTGTGATCTCATCTGCTCCTGCCAACTGAAGTTCTAGTTTCTAAATTAGGCTCTTCAGGCTGTCTGTGGCAAGGGATCTTTCCCCCAAATTGTCACTGTCTGATATATTTTTATATTTCCTTCTACGTTTGAATGTTCTGGCAAAATCCAACAGTTGTCAAAGCTTCTAAACGCATACTTGCAGGTTCTACACAGATCTCACTGATACCTGCTAATGGTCAGTCCACAAAAGTGGAGACTGGTTCCAATCTCTGAGTGACATTCCCTACATCATTTTCCTAGCCTGTCTACTAAGGAAAATGCTTTAAGCTCTAATGCCCCCAAAAAAGTTCTGAGAAAGCTATCTAGTACTTCAAGGTTTCTAATAAAAATAGGAAAATTATCCCAAACAACTGTTCTGTTTCTTCTGCAACTGTGTGCATTACAATGTAATTCTGGAGTCAAGCCAGTAGCTGGTGGTTCATGCTTGTAATCCTGGCTACTCACAAGTCTGGATCTGAGGATCACAATTTCAAACCAGTCTGAGCAAGAAAGTCGGTGAGGTTCTTATCTCTAATTACCCAGCAAGAAGCTGGAAATGGAGCTGTGACTCAAGTGGTACAGTACCAGCCCTGAGTGAAAAAAGCTAAACAGTGCCCAGGGCTTAAGCCTCAGTACTTGTGTGTGCATGCACGCGCGCACATGTGCACACACACACACACACACACAATTCTAGAGTTAGTGAAGATCCACCAAGTGATGGGCTCTGCATCTACAAACCAACTCACATCAAATACAAGTTGTCTGTGGGTTCCCTGGGCCACTTGTGCTTTTGATGATCCAAATATCAAACTGAAAGTTTCTCACACCCAGCAGGTATGAGAATTTGCTAGAATGACTCAATAGAGATAGTGGGCTTAGTAGCTGTACTTATACTTTCAGTTTTACAGTGAAGGATACATACAGAGAAATAGAAATATTTGGTGTGATATCACCTCCTGGTATATAGGATTTCACCAACCAGAGAGCTCCATAGAGCCTCAGGGCCAGAATTTGTTATGAGGTGTCACTGAGTAGCATGTGCATGAACCAAATTTCTAGTCTTCCCCTCCACTCTGGCTGCCAGATTGGCCTGAAGTTCTAGTCTTGCTATATTACTTGATTGGTCTTTCTGGTGACTAGGCCCACCTCTGAAGTTAACTAAGGGTCTGTGAGTCACACCATTAGTATGAGCACAGTCCAATCCCTGAGAACATTCAAGTGTTTCTGAGGCTCCAGATCAGGATCCCAGATACCAGCCAGAAGAATCCTTCCTTGTTTCACACCTAGGCTACAGTAGGAAATTCAGAAGTCATCACCTTCCAGCCTTGGCTGGCAATTACCATTACCTGATCTACCTGCTCTGAGCAGTTGCTCCATGAAGCAGCTTAAGAATGGGAGTTGGGTTTCTCATTTCAGCATTTTCTTGAGAACATTTCTAAAACCCAGAGCAGGGTGACATGTCTGGAGAGGGGAAGAAAATGATGCAAGAAATACAGCCAAGATTTGAGCTGCTGAGAAAGAACCAGAGATTTCTTATCTTGGGGCCACATCCTCTGCACCAGATGAATTCATGTTGCCTTATGTCAGAGGCTCCAGGAAACAGCATGAACATCTTTAAATTCCATAGAAGGATCTAGACTATGGAACCCAGGCTTCATCTCATGTGACTGTATGGGGATACTAGTGGGATGGGAAGGTAAGAGGAAGAGGGAAAGAAGGAGGGAATATACGGTCAAAATACTTCATGTGTCTATATAAAAGTGGAACACTAAAGCTTGCTGAGATTAATTTGGGATGGGAAGGAATGGGAAGAGAAGACAGTGCCGGGAGTGAGGGCAAGTGTGAGCAAGTTACACTATACACATATATGGACATGTCACAAGGAAATAATCTTCTACTACTAATGAATACTAACAAAAGTGTGTAAAACTAAGCCAGGTGCTGGTGGCTAATACCTGTAATGCTAGATACTCAGAAGGCTCATAGTTCAAAACCAATCTGGGCAGAAATGTCCCTAAGGCACTTCTCTCCAATTAACCACTAAAAGCAGCTGGAAGTGAAAGTGGCTCAAGTGGTAGCCTTGATTGAAAAAGCTAAGGCAGAAAGAAAGGCCCTGAGTTCAAGCCCGTGTACACACACACACACATACACACACACACACACACACACACACACACACACACACACGACAAAATAAAAAAGTACCTAGTCTCCTGGTGAAGCTGTGTTGGTCAAGTAAGATGATGACAGACACAAAGGGGAGGGGATAAAAGGACAAGAAGTCTGAGGATACCTGAAAGTAACAGAAGAAATGCCAAGAGGATGAGGACTGCCTGGTGTGGTAGGAAGGAGAGACAGATCTGTATAGCCCTCTTAGCTCTCTGAAAGCAATAAGGACCCTAATACAAGTAATGGTGGCCCTTCAGCAGGTGAAACTGTGGCCCTCACACAGGGTAATTATAGAAAGGAGTGGGCTCCTGTCTCCACTTACAATTAGACTCCAACTTTTAATAATCCCAAAGCCTTTGCTGCAACTTCTGTGAGCCTTCTGCTGCTAATTAGGGAATCTTCCCCAAAGCAATTAAATCTCAAGGCAAAGGCAAATCCCTTGCTAGCAAACTTCAATAGAAATTGCTGTACATATTCCAGGTCTTCATCTCCAGGGTATGTGGTAAGGGATAGATGACAGACAGGTGGGAGATGTCATCAATGTTCATGCCAGGTATCTTTCTTTCCTTTTTTTTGTGCCCACACTGGGGCTTGAACTCAGGGCCTAGGCATTATCCTTTAGTTTCTATGCTTCATGCTGATGGCTTTACAACTTGAGTCACAACTGTACTTCTAACTGGCTAATTGGAGATAAGACTCTTATAATCTTTCCTGCCTGAGTTGGCTTTGAATATCCTGAGTAGCTGGGATTACAAGCTTGAGCCATGGATACCTGGCTCATACATCATTCTTTTCCATGTGGAAGGGAATGGCTGGTGAAGCACTAGAAAGCAAACTTCCTAATCTAGTATACTCCACTATAATGGCAGATTGTCAACAGAGTTATCTGTTCTGCTCACAGTCATGAGCCAGTGGTAGATGGTATCATATACAGGATAGGAAGATATAAGAGACCCATCATTTTCCACACTTTTTCCTACTTCAGCTCTCTAACAAAGCTTCCAAGAACTTCTATTCATGCAGGCAAAAATCCAAAGTACTGAGATTGAGTTGGGTGCTGGTGGCTCATGCCCAGAATCCTAGCTGCTCAGGAGACTGATATCCAGAGAATCATGTTTCAAAGTCAGTCAGGGTTACATAAGTCCAAGAGATGCTACAGCCAGATTCACCAGCAAAAAAAAACAGTTAAGAAGGATGGCTCAAGTGGTACAAAAAAACAGTTAAGAAGGATGGCTCAAGTGGTAAAGTACCAGTTGTAATGAAGAAAGCCAAGTGAGAGCCTGAGGCCCTGAGTTCAAGTCTTCCTTGGTACCAGAAAAAAAATGATTATCTTAATTTTGCTCCTGTCCCAGGTAGGTTGGTAGATGCTCATATGTAAACAGAGAAAGGAATCTTATTATCTTATATATATATAGTGCAGTTTAACTTCTCCTTCATATTATGAAAGAGATCATGTCTTCTAAAGGCATAATTTATCACACATTGTCAGATGAAATTATGAAATGTAAACACTGCTGTACAGAAACATTGTCATGCTGCTCTGGGTTAATGCAGCTAACTTCCTGTTTTTGTCAAGGGCACACAGAGTTTAATTTTAGGCCTTGCCACTTTAATGATGTCACTTATGCTCTGTGTCT